GGTGGCGGCCAGCAGTGCCAGGGGCGAGTGCTTGCCCAGGTCCGGGGAGGCGCTGGGGGTGCGGTCCTGCATAGGCGGCGAGGGAGGGAGGAGAAGAGACAAAAGGTTAGCTCCAAGCGCGGACTCCGGCCCAGCCCGCCGACCCCACGCCCACTATTATACTGCCGCCACTCTTCCGTCCCGGCCGTCCCTCCCCCGCCACCGCACTCCACGCACGCACCCACCGGCCGCGGGAAACTTTTGGTGCCTGCACTACCTGAACGTGGGACACGCGAGCGCTTCTTGCTAAACTACTTGGTGCACTGAGACGCCGTCCAGCCTTAGAGGAAGCAGGCGCAAAGTGGGAGGGGGAGGCGTCCGACGGGCCGCTCCCGGCTCGGTGGTCAGTAACAGTCGGGAAACACCCACAACCCCGCCGCCCGGCCACCCTCCCTCCCTCCCATCTTTTAAGCTCTCTTGTCCTCACTGCCCTCGCGCTCCTCCCCGGCCCGCCCCAGGCTGAAGTCAGCAGGAGGGCCCAGCAGGGTGAGCTCCCGTCCTGTTCTCGGCCAGCCGGGCACCTCCGAACAATCCCGGATCCACGCGTCCCTCCCGCAAAGGCCACACCGGATTAGGTGTGAAGTTGGCGTGGGTACCCCTAGGCCAGGCTCCAGCTGCACCCATCGGTTGGGTTCCCTTTGAGGTTCAAGGTGCACGGAGTACCAGGAGAGATCCGGACGTGGCCTTTTCCACCTTTCTCCCGCCCCCTCCGGGCTAGGCCCTAACCTGGAGAAAGGCCTGCAGCGAGTCGTTCCGGAGGACGGCTACCGCGGCCATGGTTACGGCTTGCAGGCCGCTGGCTGCGGAGCGGGGCGCCGCCACCGAGGCATGGACACCCGAAGGCGAGGACGAACGACCGCCCAGCCTGCCTCCCCGGCGCCTGCTCTGCGCGCCGGGGCCCTCCCCGCCCTCGCCCCTCGCCGCGCCCCGCTCGCTAGCCCCGCGCGCGGTCTGAGCGCTTCAGGATCACCTCCAAGAATTTGATAAGGACTTTGCTGGGCCGCCAGCCAGTCAGAGGGAAGATTTATGGCTTTGAAGTTTGCCGCTACCCAATCATCAAAGAATAGCGGCTCTTTCAGAAGCGAAAGCAAATCCTTTGAATCCACAAAGCTCCTATGGTGTGTTTGTTGGTCTGGATAAAAGAACTGATTATTAGGGGGGATGGGAAGGGAGGAGATAAAGGCGGGACAATTAATGAAGTAATCACTATGTGGGAAATGTATATACACAAATAATTGGATTTTCCTGATCAAAGGGGGCCTTGCCGCCTGGAGACCCGCGCTTGGGTTGCTCGAGACACTCTTCCCGCCCTCCCAACCCCCCCATACACACTTGCAATTAAAGATTTGCACCGAGGCAGCGCCCAAAGTGACAAAGTGTCTTTGTTATCTCTAGAAAAATCTGCCTTCGGCTTCCAGGCGCCGGACTTTGAGACAGGAAGGAGTGTAACTCTCCCTTGTATTTATTTGCACACCCTGCACCCTCGCCGCACACTCACCCGCCCGCGCACACAGCGGACCCAAGCGAGGCCCCCAGTGGGGCGTGGGACCGACCGCGCCCGGCCCGCCGCGTGTCCCCCGCCCGCCGCGGTGGGGCCGAGGGCAGGGCTGTGACCTGGGGCGGGGCCGGGCGGCCGCCCAGCGCGGCGTTGGGTGGCGCGCACGCTCCAGGGCCACCCGCCTGACGAGCTACCGGGGCTCTCCTGTGACGTTCCTGCTGGCGACCTGGAAGTTTTCCTCAGGCCACAACTTTTGCAAAGTGTGAACCTGGGAAAAACACCCGCGCCGCGCATACCCTCAAAGCTGAGCTTGGCAGGACACCCAAGGCGACCCGTTATGCCCATCTGAGGGGGAGAAGCTGTGCTGTTCCGCCCCCTTCTCCCTAGGCCACCCTGGACCCCCAGGAGGCCCGGGCCGGGCTGTGGGGGGCCGAAAGCCCCAGTACCGCTGGTGATTTCTCGCTCGGAGCCCCGCCAAGGCAGCGCGCGCTCTCGCAAGCCTGACAGAACAAGAACTACTCGAAAAAAGTGAGGCGCGGTCTAGGAAGCCTGGTTGTTGTGGTTCCACAAACCACAAATCATACCAGAGAGAACCCCGAAGCGGGGAGAAAAGTCAGTACAAATTTGTTCCTGTCACCTTTGGAAACAAAAAGTTCCTCACCAGGCGCGGGGCGTGCTTTGCCATGGGCAGGGTCGCGCTTTCCGGGGCTTGGGTGATCCCCATCCCTCCCTGGCCGCTCACTTCCTGCCGAGGAGGGCCGTCTGCCTCCTCCAGGCCCAGGGCGCAGGGCGCGTCCTGCCCCGGCACTGCAGACCCCGGGATCACTTCCCCCGGGATCGCTTCCCCAGGGCGCGCGGGCCGGGAAGGAGGAAGAGGTGGGCGGGGCGCCGAGGGGTCCTCACCGCCCTGGGGCATTAGGGACGCGGAACCGTGTTGGAGGCCTAGCGGCCCCGGCTCGCGAGACCGCACTGCAGAGCTCGGCCTACTCCTTTCCCCCACCCACCTCCTGGCGGACACGGTCTCCACTCTCCAGGCCGCCGACCGTGGGGGAGACCCTAATCAGCTCGCGCCCGGCCTCTCTGCCCGTCTTCCTCACGGAACCGCACCGCGACCGGGGACGGACGGGAGACGACGGACGGGATGACCTATCTCCCAATGCAGCGTCAGAGGTTAGCCTAACTACAGCGGACTCGGAGTCTGGGCCGTATAAGGATGCCCTCCGCACTTCCGTCAGGGGTCGGGGACGCGATGCCTCCGGGCCCACCTTCTCCCACGGGCGAGCCTGCCGGAGAGAATATCGTACTGAAGACGGGTGGGCTGCTTGCGACCCAAAAACAATGGGTCCCTCGCACATCCTGCACTCGCACCGCGCCCTACTCCCGCAACGAGCTGTCCCCTCTAGAACGCGAGGGGCGACCACACAGCTTGGCCAACCCGATCTGGCTTCTGAAGATGAGATCAGCTGCTCTGGGAGCGGAGAAGGGGAGAGACCTTAGTGGTTTCATCGGAGGCGTGGCCGACCTGCTCCTTACCGCGGTCCCGTCCAGGGTTTGAGTCTTGGAAAAGCGTGGGACCCGAGGGAGCCCTTTCCCGGATGCAAGTCAGAGGCCAGAGAGTCCCTTGGCACGCACTCGCGCCTGCACATGCCCGCACCGTCGAAGCGATCTGGTGCCTTAGCGCTTGTTTCCTTTCTAGCTCCCTTGAGCTCTTCGAAGTCTCCTTTCCCAGGAAGGCGGGCAGGGCCTGGCTAAGCAGGATGGAAGGCAGCCCTTTTTGTTGAATCTGATAGCTACTTTCCCAAAAAGGCCAGAAGAGCCATTTCACATCTCCATAGTTATAGGAGTTAGCTTTTTCTCCAAGATGCCCCCACTAGTCAGTTAAACCACCATCAGTGGGCAACAGGGTGAAAGTTAGTGGCTTGGTGGTTAAGAGCTCGGAGTCCGAGCTCTCTGAAGACATTTTTCCCGCCTTGACACTTTCTAGTTGGTGACCTTGGCAAGCAAGGTACTCAGCCTCTGTGTACCTCAGTTTTGCGGTTTGTAAAATGGGAGTTACAATAGTGCACCCCTTATAGAGTGGCTGTAGGTTTAAGAGTTAATATATGCAAGGTCTTTAGGACTGTGCTGAGCGTACAGAAGGCCCTCTCTTGAGTGGTCGCAGTCGGCTGCTCTCGGTCTCATCTCCATTTGTGAAAACCCGCCCAGAGTCCGGTCCTCCCAGGCCCCAGCTGAAGTTTGGAGAGAGACTTTGCCGAATAGCTGTTTAGTCTCCCCCAACCCCCTTGGCCTTCGGAGCTCCTGAAAAAAGTTCTTAATGAAGTAATGTTGAGAGCGTCCATTAAAAATGCAATGCTGGGAGATCAAAGTACAATATTTATTTTAGAAATTTGTTGCAATCACCAAGAGATACAGGTATCAAGGCCAAATGTCAGTTCCATTACACAAAGCCCTGCGCCCGGGAAGAGCGTGTGGCTGCTCTGCCATAATGTAAAGAGACATCAAAGACCGAGCGCGCTGCAAAAGTGCGCAGCCAGGGGGAGGGAGCATGCCCGGGAGGGCCAGGCGCGCCCCAGACAGCGCGGGGGCTGCGAGGGCGGGGGTCAGTTCAAAGAGGTATCCGCTGGGGCGCGAGTTCACAGGAGGGAAGATTTAATGGGCTTTCTTTTGTTGGTGGGTGTGTTTGCGCACGGTGGACCCAGGAACTCCTATGTGGTCCTCCTGCCTCGGGGCGGAGATGGGGGTGGGGTGGGAGCTGCGAATGTGGAGCAAACTTTAACCGTGGCGGGGGGCGGGGAGGTTGAATACCAGTCTCCTGGCTGCGGCTGGCACAGCGGAGCTGCTCTCCAAGCAGCGGGGTTCCGAGGCTGGGAAGTTTGCATTGCAGTTTCTTCGCGGGCGGGCGGCGAGCGCCAACTGCTTGCCACCTGAGAGAGGAAGAGGCGGATAGGTGAACCCGCAGCGACACTTGCTCAGGGGACGGACCAGCTCTGCGCTCTCTGGGATTAACTCTGGGGTTGCTACTTCGAGCCCAAGCTTGGTACCTCGCCTCGGGCATTTTCTTGAAGCAAGAAGGGATGCACGGCTCTGGCATAAATCCAACTAGACAGTCACCCCTCTCCAGCTGATTTTTTAAAAATCTAGATATTATTTAGATCATTTCAGCAAATTCTTAATTCTTTGGACTTTCACAGTAAGATGTTTCTTAACTGGCTGGATCTCCCCCTTCCTTGCCAAGGAGGCTGAACTTTGCAATTGCCTATATCTGCCTAGTTAAATCGTTGCTATACTAAAGGTTCTGGGAGGGTGGAGGCAGAATTATTTCCCCCGTGCTAATGCGGCACTGAATCGCAGGAGGCTGCACATGCATTTCTTCAGTTATCTACAACCAAGAATTCTCAGAGCAGTCCCTCGGCAGCCTTTTGAAGCTGTGCTAGAGCAGAAAGCTGCTATTGTTCTCATCTCTCAACAAGGAAAGGATCAAACTTTGCCTCTTCAATTTGAAAGATTTTTTTTTTTTTTTTTTTTTTTAATGGTGGTGGGGGGAAGGATTGCAATCTGATACTCTAAGTTAACTTTGAGGATTTGGAGTGGTCTCCCAGTTTAAGCTGCAGATCAAATCACAGATACCCTAATGCCTGCATCTCAAGTCGGGGGCACGTCATCATTAATAGGGTGGAGTAGTAAGTCACAAGCAATTATAATGTGGGTAACCTAGCCTGGTGACCGAACTAGTTTACTTTCCAAGGAAATGGGACCATTTTCTCAACTGGAATCCTTGAATTAATTTTAAACTTAAACTTCTAAATTGAATCAGTATACAATACTGGTTGTAGAACTAGGAAGAATTTAAAAAAATCTAATTCTCCCTCATTTGATGGGAGGAGGAAACAGCATTTGTATGATACGTATCCTGCCTGCACAATGTTGTGATCTTCAGTAGATGCTCGATAAATGCTCATTGATATTGGGTGGTAGAGTGGAATTGTGTGTACCAACGTCATCTGTGTAATGACTGGTGCTGCAGAGCACACAAATGTAGTAGGAAGTCAGAGAGGATTGGTGAGGGCTGGAGTGGTCAAGGGAGGCGTTAGCAAGGAGCTGGGGTTTGGAGGAGACTTTTAAGACCCACAGAATTTTAACTAAATTTTAATTTTAGTTAATTTTAGTGCAAAGAAAGGAAGAAGGTGAAGGGAAAGGGATAGCAGAAAGAGAATTCCACTTCAGTGAGAAGTTGAACTATGATGAAGTTTTGGGCCTTTGATCTGTTGATGTGTGGACATGGTGGGGTCAGATTAGAGAAGTCAGAACCGGGAGTTTGCCCTCATGCTGTATACATTATAGTAGGAACTCCTCCTGAACTCACAATTGAATGTGAGTTCAATTCCATTTCTGAAAGCTTCTCCCCTAGAAGGGTTGGCTTGCAGAGTCTGGAAGGATAGATGCAAATGCAGTTACCTAGGTGTGAGATGGTGAAAATTTTGATTGGGAACTGGTGGTAGTAGTGAAAGGATGACTCAACATTTTAAAGGGGAAAAAGAGCAAAATTTGGTGACAGGTTGGAATAAGACATTAAATAACGGGGACACTCAAAAGGACTCCTCTTTTGAGCAAATGGTGCTGGGACAACTGCATATCTACATGTAAAACAATAACGTACACACAAATTAACCATAATCATAGACTTAAATGTAAGAATTAAACTCTAAAGCTCTTAGAAGAAAACAAAGGAGGCTGGGCGTGGTGGTTCATGCCTGTAATCCCAGCACTTTGGGAGGCTGAATCACAAGGTCAGGAGTTCGAGACCAGCCTGGCCAACATGGTGAAACCTTGTCTCTATTAAAAATACAAAAAATTAGTTGGGCATAGTGGCAGGTGCCTGTAATACCAGCTACTCAGGAGGCTGAGGCAGGATAATCGCTAGAACCTGGGAGGCGGAAGTTGCTGTAAGCCAAGATCATGCCACTACACTATAGCCTGAGTGAGAGAGTAAGACTCCATCTCAACAACAACAACAACAACAACAACAAAAAGAAAATAAAGGAGTAAATCCTCATGACCTTAGTTAGGCAAAACCTTCTTAGATGTGACACCAAAAGCACAAATGACAAAAGAAAAAATAGTTAAATTGAACTTCACCACATTTAAAACTTTTGTGCTTTAATGAACACCATCAAGAAAGTGAAGACAACCCACAGAATTGGAGAAATCCTTTGCAAATTATGTATCTAATAAAGGAACCCTTGCAACTCAACAATAAAAAGACAACCCAATTTAAAACTGGATAAAGGATTTGA